TTTTTTTTGAGACAGAGTCTCACTCTGTTGCCCAGGCTGGAGTGCAGTGGCACAATCTCGGCTCACTACAACCTCCACCTCCTGGGTTCAGGTGATTCTCCTGTCTCAGCTTTCCAAGTAGCTGGAACTACAGGCACCTGCCACTGCACCCGGCTCATTTTATATTTTTAGTAGAGACAGGTTTTCACTATGTTGGCCGGACTGGTCTCAAACTCCTGACCTCAAGTGATCTGCCTGCCTCGGCCTCCCAAAGTGCTGGGATTACAGGCATGAGCCACCATGCCTGGCTGAGTACTTTTAAAATTATATAAAATACACATAAAATATACTTTCTTAAACATTTTTAAGTGTACAGTTCAGTAGTGTTAAGTATATTCACTAGCGTTATGCAACCAATCTCCAAAATTTTCATCTTGCAAAACTGAAATTTGTATATATTTTGTCAAGTCTCTATTAATATTGTTTGCCATTTATTGGGTTGTTTATCTTTTTATTATTGAGTTGTAGGAGATGTTTTTATGTTCTGGATATAAGTTCTTTGTCAGGTCTATGCTTTGTTGTTTTCTCTCAGTCTGTGGCTTGCTTCTCTGCTTTCTTAACTCTTTTGATGACTGGAAGTTTTACATTTGGATCAAGTTTAATTTACTATATTTTTTCTGTTATAGTTACTGCTTTATATGTCAAGTCTAAAATATATTTGCCTCCTGAGTTTTCTTCTAATAACTCTGTAGTTTCCAGTTTTATATTTACATCTCTGATGCATCTCAATGAATTTTGTATATAAGAAGTGAGGTAGGCAGGGATCAAGATTTTTTTTTCTTACTATATTTTTCTTTTCCAATTTAATTGCTTTGACACCATTATAGAAAGTCAACTGACCATATATGTGTAAGTCTACTTCTGGACTTTCTGTTCTCTTATACTGATGTCTATTTTTTATGTTAACACTACACTGTATTACTGTATCTTCATAATGTGTCTCAAAATCACCGTGAGTCTGCCAGCTTTGTTGTTTTTTTCAGATTGTTTTAGCAATTCTCAGTCCTTTATATTTTCATGTAAACTTTAAAATTAGTTTATCAAACTCTGTTGTTTAATAAGCATGCTGGATTATGATTGTGATTGTGTTTAATCTATACATTAGTTTGCGGAGAATTGACATCTAATAATATTAAGCCTTTCAGTCTATGAACATGGTATATCTTTACATGTATTTAGGTCTTTAATTTTTCTCAGCATTATTTGTAATTTTTTTCGAGATGGAGTCTCACTCTGTTGCCTAGGCTGGAGTGCAGTGGTGGGATCTCAGCTCACTGCAACCGCTGCCTCCTGGGTTCAAACAGTTCTCCTGCCTCAGCTTCCCAAATAGCTGGAACTACAGGTGCATGCCACCACACCTGGCCAATTTTTTATTTTAGTAGAGACGGGGTCCACCATATTGCCCAGGCTGGTCTCGAACTCCTGAGCTCAGGCAATCTGCCCGCCTTGGCCTCCTCAAGTGCTAGGACTGCAGGCATGAGCCACTGCGCCCAGCTGATTTCTGTATTTTGACTTTGTATCCTCTGACCTTACCAAAGTCATTTACTACTTCTAGGAGCTTTTTTTGTATATTCTGTGAAATTTTCAAAGACAGTTTTGTCTATAAGTAGTGACAGTTTTATTTCATTCTTTGCAATCTATATGCCATTTTTTTCCTTGCCTTATTGCACTGGCTAAGACTCTAGTACAATGTTGAGTTGAAGTAATGAGAGAGGACATCTTTCCTTTGTTCTCAATCTTAGAAGGAAAGCATTCAGTTTTTCACTATTGTGTATGATGTCAACTGTAGGCTTTCCTATTATTCCTATTTGCCTGAGAGTTTTAAATTATAAGTAGATACTGACTTTCATCAAATACCTTTACTGCATCTAAGCAGATGATCCTATGGTTTTTCTTCTTCATTCTGTGAATGAGCAGCAGCAGACTGAAGGAGCAGCACCTATCTTGAGACATGGCAGTTTCACATGGTAGCTCTTAAAGTTTCAATTTGATCATGATATAACTTCACTTCAGCTTATTACATCCTATTGATTAAAGCAAATCACATGACAGGACTACACTTCTCTCTTTGGGAGGGGCAGAGAAGTCACATGGCAATGGGCAGGCCTATATAATCTTATCATAGGGAGGGCAACAAGTAATTGGAGTCAATGATGCAGTCTATCATGCACATTTTTCTTAATTATGTATACAGGTTAAATATTCCTCATCCAAAATGCTTGGGAATAGAGTGTTTTGGATTTTGGACTTTTTCAGATTTTGGAATCTTTGCATATATATAATGAGATATTTTGGAGGTAGAACCAAAGTCGAAACACGAAATTCACTTATGTCTCATATACACTTTAGATGCATGGCCTGAAGGTAATTTACAATATTAATAATTTTGTATATGCAACAGTTTATGTACATTAACCCATCAGAAAGCAAAAGTGTCACTATCTCAGCCACCCCTGTGGACAGTCTGTGGCATCATGTCAGCACTCAAAAAGTTCCAGATTTTGAAGGACTTCAGGTTTTTGGGTAAGGGATACTCAACTGGTATAAAGCTGTATGTATGTATATGTTAATGGGTTAGAAGAAGAAAAAGATTTGGAAGGATACATGAAGTGTGTCTTTTTCTGTATTTTCTAATTCTTATACAGAAATCTATTTTACAATGAAGAAAACATTACTTTTTGAGAAGAATATAAATCTGGTTTTATTAACTACTGTATTCTAAATATGATTTCTTGTTTTAGATACTTGGAATTAAAAAAAAACAGATACTCAGAATTTTTAATCTGGAAAGGACCATTGTTTATTCTTTTCACTGCTTCTGCCCACATTACTCCCCCAAGTTTATGGATGCAGAAACTGAAAAGCTAAAATGATTTGCTCCAAGGTCATGTAGACTTGTAGAAAATTCATTTAGAGCATGACATTATTTGAACATCAGAAAGTGAGAAGGAAATCTTGGGAAATTAGTTTCCGAGAATTTGAGATAGTTTAAATTTTTTTTTTTTTTTTTTTTTTTTGAGACGGAGTTTCGCTCTTGTTACCCAGGCTGGAGTGCAATGGCGCGATCTCGGCTCACCGCAACCTCCGCCTCCTGGGTTCAGGCAATTCTCCTGCCTCAGCCTCCTGCGTAGCTGGGATTATAGGCACGCACCACCATGCCCAGCTAATTTTTTGTATTTTTAGTAGAGACGGGGTTTCACCATGTTGACCAGGTTGGTCTCGATCTCTCGACCTCGTGATCCACCCGCCTCGGCCTCCCAAAGTGCTGGGATTACAGGCTTGAGCCACCGCGCCCGGCCAGTTTAAAATGTTTTAACCCAAGTAATCACCAAGTTACTCTAAAAAAAAAAAAACCTGAAAAGAGAAATTCATTCGCTCTTTTACAAATGTGTATGGAGCACCTACTACTTTATCTCCCACTTGAAAACTGGAATTTTGAGTGCAGTAGCAAGCATTTCTAGATTGTAAAGTGATACATATTATGATATAAAGGATGTGTTGGGATTATAAAAGATGCATAAAGTATTATTGAGGATGTTTTTCTCAAGTTTGACATTTGAGAGACCCACATGAGTAATCATAATGATAACTAAGGTATTTGGCTACTTATAATGTGCTTAACAAAGCTTTATGCATTTTACACGTATTCGTTTATTACTCTTAAAAACTTCATAAGGTAGGTACTGTTGTTCTATGCATTTTATTAGTTGAGGAAATCAAGGTGCAAATAAGCTAAGGAAGTTACCAAAGTCATCTGACCAATAAGTGGAAGAGCCACAATTTGAACTTGAACAGACTTGCTTCGGAGCCCATGATCTTAACTGCTGCTTACACCATATCTGCAGAAAGTCTGTACATGCTGTTTCAGGGTCTCAGGCTGGAATGCAGAGGTGTGATCATGGCTCATTGCAGGCTCGACCTCCTGGGCTCAAGTGATCCTGCTGTCTCAGCCTCCCAAGTAGCTAGGATTGCAGGCATGCACCACGAAACCTAGCTGATTTTTTATTTTTACTTTTTTTCCTCGAGACAAGGTCTGGCTCTGTCACCCAGGCTGGAGTGCAGTGGCATGATCTCGGCTCACTGCAACCTCCACCTCCCAGGCTCAAGCCATCCTTTCAACCTCAGCCTACTAAGTAGCTGCAACTACAGGTGCACACCACCACGCCCAGCTAAATTTTGTATTTTTTTGTAGAGACAGGGTTTCACCATGTGACCCAGGCTGGTCTCGACTCTTGAGCTCCAGTGATCCGCCCACCTTGGCCTCCCAAAGTGCTGGGATTACAGGTGTGAGCCACTGAGCTGGCTTTATTTTTTATTTTTTATATATTTTTTTTTTATTTTTAATTTTTATAACGGAGTCTCACTATATTGCCCAGGCAGGTCTTGAACTCCTGGGCTCAAGCTATCCTCCCACCTCTGCCTCCCTAAAAGCTGAGATTACAGGCGTGAGCCACAGTGCCCAGCGATTTTTTATAGAGACAGAGTCTCATTATGTTGCCCAGTCATCAAACTCCTGGGCTCAAGCAGTCCTTCTGCCTCAGCCTCCCAACGTTCTGGGATTACAGGTGTGAGCCACCATGCCTAGCCCCTTAATACTGTTTTCTAATACTGTGATTCCTTGCTAAACAAGAGTTGAATCCAGGTTAAATATGTACATGAAAAAATGAGGTAAGCATAAAAATAAGGAGCCAAATCGTATCAGGCAGTTGACACACAGGTTTAGTAGATTAACTAGAAAATTGTACTTTGTATATCTTTATTTTTTTATTATTGTTGTATATTATATAGCTTAGTAGTTACAAACATGGACTTTGAGTAAGACCTGGGTTCAAATTCTGGTTCACTGCTTCCTAGTTTTTTGCTCTTGTGCAGGTGAAAGGTCAGCAAATGGAATCTGCTGTTTTTTGGTGGTTTGGATAGCCTGTGGTGATGGCTGCATTTCTTTCTCTTTTCTTGATCAGGTGGATTTGTTTAAAAAGAGTCTTCTGTTGATTCCTATTCATCTGGAAGTCCACTGGTCTCTCATTACTGTGACACTCTCTAATCGAATTATTTCATTTTATGATTCCCAAGGCATTCATTTTAAGTTTTGTGTAGAGGTAAGTTAATATGCTGCCTATTTTTTCATTTATTTTATGATTGGCCAAATAGCATCTTAGCTCTAGATAGAACAGCAGCAGTCAAAACAGTTTATTTCATGAAAATCCTCTAAGATATTACTTGAGAAAAGGACTGGAAGAGGAATTCTGGATAAAGAGAGGATCTGTCTCAGATCCGGATCCCACTCTGAGATACTCTACTTGGATATTCTCTTGTTTTTCCCTTAAAACTACATCTTGAATGTGGTTAGAAATTGTTTTTCTTGGATTATCTTAGAGCTAAAATTGGCTTGTATCTTCAAAATAACTCCTGTAGAATAAATTAGAACCCAAGAGAATCAATTGACAAAAGATTAGTGTTCAGCTAATAACAGTTCAAGACGATAATGGGATACAAAATCAAGAAAAATTAGGTTTCTGGATTTTCCTGCACTGTCAAGAACCAGCTAGAAAATGTAACTGGAAATAAGGTTCCATTTATAAAAGCAACAAAACATAAATAACCCAGGAATATGCCCTAGCAGGAAATGTGGAAATTATTTATGATGAAAACTTCTAAAGCTTTATTTAAGTACTTAAAAGAAATCTGAATAGATGGAGAGGGAGACCTACATGTAAAACACAAAACTGTAAAAGTATTTGAATGAAATTTAGAAAATGCTATGTTCATAGAGTGGGGAAGGACTTCTTACATGGAACCAAAGACATTTATCAAAAGTTTGATAAATTTAACTACCTCATAATTTAAAACTTATGTCTATCATAAAGTTAAAAGACAATCAGCAGACTTGAAGCAAATGTTTATGATATAAGTAACAGACAATGATTATCCAGAATACATAGAGAACTCCTGCAGATGAAAAAGGACCTAAGAGAAATGGACAAAGGCTAATTCAGTAAATTTTAGGAAAAATACAAATAACCATTTAAAAACACATGGAGAGATGTTCAGCCTCACCAGAAATAAAAGAAATGCAAATTAAAACTACATCAGTTAACATTTTTTGCCTATTATGTTAGAAAAAGTGATGCTATTGAAGTGTTTATGTGAGCATAAGGAAATAGGCATTCTTGTATTTTCTGGTGGAGTATATCCGTTGATACAGCCACTTGGGGATAACTGCAGTTCTCATCAATTCCAAGTGCTTTGTAAATTAAAACATGCAAATTCTGTTGCATATCAGTTTGATTTCTTGGTATCCATAAAAATGCTTGTATATGCACACAAGGATGGGGCATGTACTAGGATGTTCATGGCAGCATTATTTATAATAGTGCAAAATAAAACAATCTCAGTTTAGTTCTATCAAGAGAATAGCTAAATACACTATGGTACAGTATACTCATACTACTAAACTGAGCATAGCAGTGAAGCAGGATACAGTAGACCTTCAAGTCCTCAAATAGAAAGATGTCCAAGGCACAGAATTTTAAAAAGCCAATTGTGGAATGATACAGGATAGTACATTTACAGAAAACATACATGTATATGAGTATATATATACAAATCATGCATGTGTATATGTAGACACATACATATATATTTGTAAGTAAAAAGATGGGATCTTAGCATTTTTTATATCAATGATTATTACCTTTGGGTAATTGTAGAAAAGTAGGACTCAAAGGGGATTTAGCCTTATTTGGGATATTTTAATTACAAGGAAAATATTTTGTCCTTATTTTGAGATTTTTTTTTTAACAAGGAAGATATTTTCTTGACTCATTTGTTTAATTTACGTTTAATTTAAAAATTAAGTATGCCGGGTACGGTGGCTCAAGCCTGTAATCCCAGCACTTTGGGAGGCTGAGGCGGGTGGATCACGAGGTCAAGAGATCGAGACCATCCTGGTCAACATGGTGAAACCCCGTCTCTACGAAAAATACTAAAAATTAGCTGGGCATGGTGGCGCGTGCCTGTAATCCCAGCTACTCAGGAGGCTGAGGCAGGAGAATTATTGAATCCAGGAGGCGGAGGCTGCGGTTAGCCGAGGTTGCGCCATTGCACTCCAGCCTGGGTAACAAGAGCGTAACTCCGCCTCAAAAAAAAAAAAAAAAATTAAGTATAATGCAAATTATGAGGAAAATCAAGTTTTCCAAATTCACATTTTCATTTCCAAGAAATCCAGGAAAAACTCCAAAAACAAGAAGCCTCCTGGGCCGAGTTCTCTTAACTCCAGCCCAGAAGAGTTGGTACAATACCAGGTGTGAGCATTCTTTTCCGGTTCCCTTCCCCTAATTCCTTGCCTGTCTCTCAACCAGCATATTCTCATACTGACCAGAGCCTGTCTATATTGTCTCTTTCCTAGACAAACCTGCAAAGATATAACCAAAAGTGCAACCGTATCAGTGCCTTTAAGAATCAGATTTCTGACAGGCAGAAGACAGCAGAGGTGTCGGGAAAAGTGTTTCATCTAGGAAATATTTACTGTGCCTCTTGCTTTGTGCCAGGCACTGATGCTAGGGAGTCACGGATGGTCCAGACAGAGATTTGCCTTCATGGAGTAAATGATGATTAAACAGGATTTTGTTTGTAAAACATGCAGTTGGGTTCTAAGTCGATTCTGAATCATTAGGGCCTGCAAAGTCACATTCTGCACAGTCACTGAAAAATTCATCTTCTGAATTTTTGCCCAAGCCATCCTGCAGAGTTCTTTCCTTTTCAGCAAAATTATAATTGGCCTAATAATTTTGCACATTTGCAAAAAGACCCTAAGAGCAGACTCCTTTTTGGTGATAGCCAGAAGTAATTTAGAGCCAAGTACAGTTCAGTCATCCTGGCAGATGGGATCAAGCTGTTATTTGTTTTAAGAGGATGTGTGGGTTGTAGAAGTGGCTTTTAACTGAGTTAGGGGCCTATATTTCCAAAGAATTGATGAAAAATGTTTTATACAGTTACCACATAAATGTGTAAATTCCATGACAGCAGAGACTACAAGAGCTTTATTCACTAGTGTCCCCAGCACTTGAACCATTACAGATGCTCAGTACATTTTGAGTGTGATGACCATTTTTAAGGACAAATATTTTTTGCCTATATTTTATTTAAGAATTTACATATACTGGCCAGACGCAGTGGCTCATGCCTGCAATCCAGCACTTTGGGAGGCCGAGGTGGGTGGATCATGAGGTCAAGAGATCAAGACCATCCTGGCCAACATGGTGAAACCCCATCTCTACTAAAAATACAAAAATTAGCCGGGTGTGGTGCTGGGCACCTGTAGTCCCAGCTACTTGGGAGGCTGAGGCAGGAGGATCACTTGAATCTAGGAAGTGGAGGTTACAGTGAGCCAAGATTGCAACACTGCACTCTAGCCTGGCGACAGAGTGAAACTCTGTCTCAAAAAAAAAAGGAATTTACATATACTGCTTATTCTGAGAACTTGTTTCAAGGGAGAAGAGCAACATGCTCTCATACTTAGTTAAGTATTTGCTTTCACCATGTATTTTTTCTTCTGAAGAGGTGGCTTCCAGTCCACCTTTTTGTTTGTTTGTTTGAGTCAGAGTCTCTGTCACCCAGGCTGGAAGGCTGGAGTGCAATAGCCCAGTCTTGGCTCATGGCTGCGCCTCCCAGGTTCAAGCGATTCTCACGTCTCAGCCTCCAGAGTACCTGGGATTACAGGCGCACACCATCATGCCTGGGTAATTCTTTATCTGTATGTTTTGCTGTGTTGGTCAGGCTGGTCTTGAACTCCTGACCTCATGTGTTCCTCCCGCCTTGGCCTCCCAAAGTGCTGGGGTTACAGGTGTGAGCCACCACATCTGGCCCCAGTCCACTTTTTGTTGGGGGTGGGATGGGAGTGGGTTAATCACATAACCTCTGACTTCACTCTTGATGTGGAGAGAGAGATGCACAGAGGTTGAGGGCCTTGGGGACATTTTGAAACTTCAGCAGACTTCATCTTGGTAGATATTTCAAAACTGGACTTGACCATATTCAGTATTCATAATGAATTTTAGTATAACTTTCCAGAAACTGAATGTTAACCTTTACTGCAATCCTCAGAAATAAGGAGTATCAGAATATGTAAGACTGGAATGTTTTTCGTTTAGTTTTAGTTATTAATGATGTCTGCAATGGGTTCCTTTCCTCTGTTGAGCATTGGCAATGATAAAGACTTTCTTTTTGACTTGCTAGTATGTAAGTTTCAAATGCAGCAAGCTGACTTACTGCTAGGAAGGGTTAGCTAACCATCTCAAAAAATGTTCTGATTAAACAAATGTCAGTGTCCACAGTCTTGGTGCATACCTTGAATACAGAAGATCTGAGTCCTCCTTAACAATATGAAATGAAGAGTCTGAAATAAAGATCCAGCTTTAGCTGGGAGCAGTGGTGTGCACTTGTAGTCCCAACTACTTGGAAGGCGGAGGTAGGAGGATCTCTGGAGCCTAGGAGTTCAGAGCTGCAGTGAGCTATGACCATGCCATTGCACTCCAGCCTAGGTGACAGAACAAGATCCCGTGTCTTAAAAAAAGTTTGTTCCAAGCTTCTTAATGCATACTTTGCCCAATTATGGGGCCACAGCCTTCTCCTTTGCTTCTGTCTGCTGTGGGCATGTTCCATTTTTCACCAACTGATGGAACACAGCATCTGTGTTGTGGTTTCTTTTTAACCAGAATATAAGAAAGTATTTGCTGACTGAAGCCAGAGAAAAAAATAGACCTGAATTTCTTCAGGGTTGGCAGACTGCTGTTACAAAGGTAAGTATGTGATAATGAAATCCAGGCATGTCCAGGGGATGGAATTATCTAAGGGTGGGTGCCTTTAGGAACATTTGAAGACTGGTGACAGAGCTACCAAGGAGAGCCTGGAGGTTCTAGGGAGGCAGCTGAGAATAAACTTCAGTTTAGTATTCATCATCTGCTGCTCAGTTGCCCAGTGCTTCCTGGGAGCAAATCACTTCAGTCATTTCCTCCCTGAGGCAGTTGCTAATGATGTATTTGCTTTTCTGGGGGAAAAAAATGTTTTTTGGGTGGCACTTGCCTCTTGTGTCATGGCTCTTACTTCCAGATGACCTATATAGACCCAGAGAAATGCTGAAATGACTATTTGGATCCACTGAGGGGCGAAAGTACACTAGGCTACTTGCCAGGCATGTGAGGAAAATAGCCCAAGAGCTTCAGTCCCAGCAGTCTGGATACAGTGCCATGTTTGGCCCATGACATTCAAACTGTGGGGCAGAGTGCCCAGGCACAGCTGCTCATTCCTGTTGTAAATACCAGTGTCTTCCATTTATGGTGAGCTGTATTGTCAGTGTTTTTGTGCATTAGAGCTCAATTGATCCACATAACCTGGGAGGTAGGCAGCACATTTAGGGGTAAACATCATCTTTATTTTTTAGATGAGAAAACTGAAGCCCAGGTGTGATTTTCCCCAAAGCCCAGGTGTGATTTTCCCCAAAGGACATCTATTGATAGTCAGGTCCTTAAACACAGGTCCATCTGGATCATTGACACATGTTATAGGCAGGGTCTTGAAACAAACCTTTAAGCCAAACCCAAAGAGAGAAGATTTATTAGTTCATCCTTGAACTGAATCAATGCTGAATTTTAAAATTAAGCTTAAGTTTTGTGTTTTGAATAACCTAGTATACCAGTTCAAACCAGAACTGGTAAATTTACTGAATTTACTTGACTAAAAAGTCTAGGTATTCTAAATTTAGTCAGGATCTTCTGTATTCCCACTTTGGGCAGAATACAGTAACCAGTTATTTTAAAAACATACTGTTGGCTGGGCACAGTGGCTCATGCCTGTAATCCCAGCACTTTGGGAGGCAAAGGTGGGCGGATTGCTTGAGTCTAGGAGTTCAAGACCAGCCTGGGCAATATAGTGGGACGTCATCTCTACAAAACAAAATTAGCCAAGCGTAGTTCCAGCTACTTGGGAAGCTGAGAAAGATTGCTTGAACTCAGGAGACTGAGATTTTGCCACTGCACTCTAGCTTGGGCGACAGAGTGAGACCCTGTCTCAAAACCCCAAGAAACAAAAACCATACTATTTACCTTCCTGATTTCTTTCAAAGAATAGGACAGGGTTGTGTGATGTGAGATTGAAAGTGAAGACTGCTCAGCAGAGTTGTGACCATCCTAGCATCCAGAGGCCAGGCCTGTGTTCTCCCAGCCACAATTCCATTTTGACTCTTGTCAGTGAATTGATGATAGAACTCTGATCCAAATGCATGTTTTTAAAGTAGGTTTTTACATTTGATTTCCCATTTCTCATATTTAGGTAAAACATTGTTCTATAATTGTGATTGCCACTTGATAGCTCTTTTTATGTGGCCAGGTGCCTCCATAAAATTAGATGCTTGAAATATCAGAGGATATACCAGCTGTCCTGCAGAGAGAAAAGTTTCGTATCTTTTGCACATTTTTCCATAAAGGAGTTTTTCTTAAGAGGAGTAATTGATCTTATTTTAATGACTCTTTTGTTTTTCCCCTCAGTGTATTCCACAACAGAAAAATGACAGTGACTGTGGAGTCTTTGTGCTCCAGGTAAAGAAATACTGTTTTTTTCAGAATTTATGATATGTGAATTGAGTTTGTTGGGTTGAGTGGGGAGTTACGGCAGTTCCTGTATGTGTACATGATGCTAGGTACAAGCAACAGAGTACCTTCCCTCCCCTTTATTGCTGAGGAGCAGTAGTTTCTACATTTTCAGATGTTATCATTAGGAAGAACCACCTTCCAGGGACCAAGAATGACCTGTGGGTATCATCCATGTCTCATTGGAGGTTATTAGTAAGCCACATTGGAGGCTGACTTGAATTTGTCTGTATCACAACCATTGGCATCTGCAGAATTTTTAAAAAACCATTGGTAAGCAATCTGCAGGTCTTTGACACAGAGTGATTAAATTTTAAATATGGTCCACATAGAAAAACTGCCATCTCACGCTGTAGATCTCCTTAGAGATCAAAAAGGGCTATGGAAGAAATTCAGTTTTATATATATGTATGAAGGAAATTACAGAATATAATGCATGAATTTAGAGATTTGTAAAGATCTTGGAAGACGGGTTCATTTGTATACCTCATACATGTTTGAGGTTTTGTAAGCAAATTCAACTTCCCACTTAAGGGCCATGATCTAGCTGCACTCAGCAGGTTGCACTTCGGGAGGAATTTAGGTCTTTTCATCAGTTGCTGCTTTTCACAATATTGGGTCAGGAGGGAGAGGCAATCCCAAGCCGTATACTAACTTGTTCAGTTGACTGCAATTTGGACAAATGTTGAAAACAGTGTGTTTTTACAGTAGTTTAAACAGACATGAAAATGCTGCCTTACATCAGGGGTCCCCAACCTCTGGGCCACGGACAGATACCATTTACATTAGGTTATCATAGGAGCATGAACCCTGTTGTGAACTGCGTATGCAAGGGATCTAGGTTGTATGCTCCTTATGACAATCTAATACCTGATAATTCATCCTGAAACCAACCTCCTCCCCTCACCCCCATCAGTCTGTGGAAAAAATTGCCTTCCATGAAACCAGTCCCAGGTGCCAAAAAAGGTTGGGAACGTCTGCCTTAGACCCTGTTAGGTCTGCATTTAGTAAAATATAACGGGCTGGCACACAGCTCCTGCCATTTAAGTATTTCTGGGACCTTTGCAGTACTGCAAGTGCCTCGCCTTAGAGCAGCCTTTCCAGTTTTCACAAGAAGACATGCCCCGGGTACGGAAGAGGATTTACAAGGAGCTATGTGAGTGCCGGCTCATGGACTGAAACTCAGCAGGGACTCTGGGAAGTCTGACCAAGTTGGAGCAGATGGTTTGTTACTTGAATCTCCAAACACTTAGTTGAATTTTTACAGATATTTCAGATCAGTGGTGTTGGGCCACTATTGTTACCTCAAATTTATTTTTTGCCCTTAATTCTTTCTCCAGCTACCATGTACTATTGTTTAATGTTCAGTTTGGTTTCATTTTTAATTTTATGGATTCTGTGCGTCCCCCATATTTAATATTTATTATTCAAACGCATGCATGTAGACAGAGCATGCAGTGAAGAGTATTAAAAAAAAAAAAAGCTTAGTAGATTTGGTGCAGCTTTTGAAACTTAGTTAGATGTGAACTGAATACAGGTTTCAAATTTATTCCCAGAACCTAAAAATGCAAGATGTTTTTGATACAACATAACTCTGAGAATAGTAAGTGTTCCCTGGGGCATTAAGGGTAGCTAGGAGTGGTTTTGACAAATCCAGTCCTGTTTTACTTTTACCAGTGGCACTTTTCACTGACTTTCCTCTCCAAGTGAGTCTTAGAGAGTGCAGTTCATTCCTTTTGAAGGGCGAGATGGAAGTGGCCGTAAACTGACTGGTGTGTTCTGTTTCAGGAGGCACACTTGTAAGCACAGTGCCTGCTTCGGGAAGAGTAAATTAAGGTGTGAGAAAAAGACAGCAACTTTCGGGGCCAGTAACAATGATAGATTTCAGTTGTGGTTTTAAGAATTATAATACATGGTATACATCTTATAAAGGCTTTTGCTGGGATAGTGAATTCCCTGGATTTTTCTGGTTTTGACCTGTTGAAAAACAATTATCCCATCAAACCTAGTAGTCAAACAAATAATGCAGCTAGGAGTAATTTGTAAGTTGTCATTTCCCTGTGTTGCCTCCCAATTGGAAGAAGTTAAGGTTTACCAAATCCATTTCTATTTTCAAGGGTATCTGAAATTTAAACATTCAAAATTGAAGACTGACTGACTTTAGATCTTTTGCAAGTGGCTGGAGAGAAGAGGGAAGGTAGTAAAGGCAACTTACTCCCATGGGAGTGCAGCAACTGTATCAGGTTTTTTTTTTCTCCTGTCCCTTTAGTGATCTCAGTAACATGCAGGGCACATCTGGCTTCTGTGTGACCAATGCTGACACTAGCAGTTGTTTTTTCTCCTCCTTTTGAACCTCGTCTTCTGAAGGAAGGTCTAAATGGCCTTGTCCATACAGTTAGCTGCATTAGGATTAATGTCATGCACCTTACATCTTTAATCCAGCCTTTTGTGACACTGGAAAGGAAAGCCGTATGTTAAACCTACGCAGTTATCTTTTCTGAATCAGGGGAGGAAAAACCACCAGTGTATGTATGAGAAACTCAGAAGTTTGAATAGAAAAACACCAAGTAAATGGCAGAAGATACTCAAATTTATGCCTGGGTAGGTTTGGGATGTTGAAAAAGCTAAACTGTTTAGTTTCACATGGCCCTAAGGTATGGCTGAGAGAAGGCTGATGCCAGCAATTGAGAACTGAGTCAGACCATGTTTACACGCAGGGTTCCCAACACCAGGGGTGACACTGGGAAGCAGCCCCAGCACTTTTCTCTCCTGAGTCCTCCAGACTCAAAATCCTTAATTTAAAACCAGGTCAGTGTTTCTTACTGTGTTTCAAGTCGTTACAAAGACTGAGAGTAGAGGCACTTTATGCTGCTATAGATGGGGTTCTGTCAGCATTAGGAAAAATGAGTTTAAGGTGAGGAAGAGCTTTTCATGAGTTTTTCAAACATAATTGTGCAAACATGAGATTTTTCCAAAACATATGCCAGGCATTTGCCTCTAATTTTTTTTGGTGGGGGTGCGGTATACCAAAGTAGCCAGTCACTGGGCTATTGATTCAGAATGTCTTATACCTCAGAGTGAGGAAGTATTTCAGTTCTTCATTGACAGAACCTGGCATGCAGAAGAGACAGAATTGTTCCTGTAAGAAAATCAAGAGCATGAGCTGCCGTTTCCTCCAATCTGCGAAACGTGAGCTGTCCAAGTCCAGAGACTCTCACTTCCAGCTTAATGCTTCATAGGGCATCTTGAGGTATGCCGCCCAGTGTGGCTTAGACTAAATGTTGAGTTTGGTCTTTATTTTTCCCCCACTTTTTTTTTTCTTTGAGACAAGAGTCTCGCTGTCACCCAGGCTGGAGTGCAGTAGCATGATCTTGATCTCTAAATTAGGTATTAACCTCTGTTTAACTTAAGTCCTAGATCAGAATGTCCTGTTTTTCTGATGTTTACAGTAATTGCTTCCTTGGTTAATAAAGGTATTTTTGAAACACACTCTGGACTGTTGGTGAAAGAGGCAGACGTGGTTTTACTGGTACTAGTTTGGCACTGAACTGTTTGGGTGCTCACGAGGTAGGCAGACCTTACACCTTTTTTTTTTTTTTTTTTTTTTGAGACAGAGTCTCGCTCTGTTGCCCAGGCTGGAGTGCAATGGCACAATCTCAGTTCACTGCAACCTCGGCCTCCTGGGTTCAAGCAATTCTCCTGCCTCAGCCTCCCAAGTAGCTGAACTACAGACACACGCCATCATGCCCAGCTAATTTTTGTATTTTTAGTAGAGACAGGGTTTCACCATGTTGGTCAGGCTGGTCTCAAATTCCTGACCTCAGGTGATCCACCTGCCTTAGCCTCCCAAAGTGCTGGGATTACAAGTGTGAGCCACTGTGCCAGGCCTAGACCTTATGCTTTTGAGGTTGAGTGCACGCCTTGTGCTAACTAAAAGCTACTTTTGATGAGCCTTCAACAAGCTGCCCAGTCCTCTCCTCAGCAAACATACCAGGTTGTAGTTACTTCTTTACAGTGGTCTTTCCTTTTGTTAAATCCATAGCAATGAATATAGATTTAATTCAACTTTTAGTTAAGTTCTCTCAAGAATCCTAATCAACTTTCTGTTGGCCTCTTAAGAAGGGGAAAAGAAGTTGCTGCCAATATAATCCCCAAACTGTTTTTGGCTTTGCATTCTCTTTTCTACCTAGCACTGAATCTGAGTAACATTGTCATCCTGGATTTATAGTTGGAAGAAAACAGTAACAGACCTAACTGGGACTCAGCCAGCACTAGTCTCATCTTAGCTGCCCTTTTTCTCTGCAGTTACAGTTTACTGCTTCCCTGGGCTAGAAGTAACTGGGGGGGTCTGGGCAGGTCAGACTCTTCAGGCAAGACAGTCTGTTAATAGTGTGAAATAGAGATACTGATTCCCTGCTCTGCTTAGTTAAGGAACGGAATTAAATCAGCAGTTATAAAGCACATACGTACTTTTGTTATGTGCTAGGCTCTGCCTCCTGGCCTGTAGATAATTAAGACGACCCAGGGAATACCATCAGAGAAGTGCTAATTGCATTTGGGTGTTACAAAAGCAGACCCAGACAGGCTGTTCACTTAACTGGTACCTGTTGGTCAGAAAAAATTTATTTAAAGATTATCATCATATGAAATTACAGTACTCAACCCTTCTAGCAGAATATTTTTTTGAAAAATAAATAAATACCTTTATAAACTTGTGTTCTGTTGTGTTGAAAAACATGCACCGTTTGGTAATTTTTTTTCCTATAACATTCTAGTCATGACAAGGGTCATTTAAGAACAGTGAGCAGTGCAGGCAGGCCCTAACCAGCTTACCCTTAAAGGAACAGCACCATCCAACTGAATTTTCTATGATGTTAGAAATGTTCTGTATTTTCATCTACAACAGTAGTCACTAGCCATATGTGGGTACTGAGCATTTAAAATAAGGTTAGCTTGACTGAGAAACTGAATGTTTAATTCTCATTACTTCACCACCTATATTAACTGTGGTTCCCTAATCTTAGTGTACATGTTTGAATTTTCACTTTCTCTGATTAAAGTGACAAATAGGTCATCAGATGCTATCCATGAGAAACAGGAAACAATGGTGCAGTAGAAACTCATATTTAGTGTTCTCAAGCACAAGAAACCTAAGATTATCTTAACTCAGCCCCCATTTCCCTTCCCCTGCAATCATCCAGAGTATGTTTTCTGGAAAACTAAGCTATTCTTCCATCAGTAGAGGTTGCTTGGTGCCTATTTTATCACTTTCACAACATCATCAGTGTTCTCTCCTCACATGCAGCTAGTTATTTCTAACTCTCCATTCAAAATGGGCATGCAAATTTCCACATTATTCATAGAATCCCCCTAGAACTCATTCATGTGTAGTCCAGAGTACAGGAGTTCCAGAACACATCCCTCTTTATAAGGCAGGAAACGGGCAGTGACAACGGTAAGTCTTCCAACTTTACTGAAACCTGTTATATAGAAGGCAATTCAAAGAAAAGCAGTCTCCTGTAGAAATATGAGTTAAGTTTTACTACAAAAGAATATAAAATACATTAGCTTAAACTACAGTATAGACAAATTTTAAAAATGAACAGTGTATCCTCATTAAATGTTTGCAAAGTTTCTTCCTAAGCACTTTCAGATTTCTACACTCACTGTTCAATGAGAGATGTTCACACTAAGGTACTTCAGCCCCAAGTTTCACAAACTATCGGAAGTTAGAAAGTACTTCATTGCTAAGTGAAAAAAATTCACATTTTTTCATATCGGGGAAAATTATACTATACTAACAGTTTTAAATGAACAATAACTCACATGTATTAGAGAAAAATCACCTCTTGCCTTACAAATACAAAATAAATTCCCTAGACTCCCCTTCTCTGTAGAGACCATCAGCTCACTGTGAAGGCTTAAGCCTCAATAAGTACAATTTGAGGAAAAAAATAAAACAGACTTCACCATGAGAAATGGCTAAAAGCAGCATCTCCTACAGGAACCTTCTGTGATTGTTTCTATTAAACATTCTAACTTCAACATCCTTTTTTAAACCCACTTCATTCCTAACATCACTGAAAATGAAGAGTAACTTTGATGGTCCTCATGTCAATGCAGTGTTTTTACTGTCATTTGATATTTTATCCCATTTCCTACTGTCAGTGTCTCCCCTAACCCTGAAATTATTTAGAGGTTCTATGACAAACCCTTGCTTTTTAGCTTTAGGTATAACATTGACATCTTTGGAAAAATGTGTCAGTAAATACTCAAGTTCTGGCCTCATTTCCTGATGTGTAAAGCATGGAAGCAGGGCTGTCCTGTGTAGATTGCTTTTGCACAACTATTTAGGAAGGTCTTTGATCTCTAAGCTTGCCTTTAGAGATTAACATTCATCGAAAACAAATTCAATTGTCAAATACCTGTTCCTAATTTAGTGCAAAGCCATACAACGCAGCACACTCCATTTGTTGTTTTATGTTTTGCTTTGTTTGTAGAGAAGGGTATCTTGCTGTGTTGCCAAGTCTGGTCTCAAACTCCTGGCCTCAGCTATCCTTCCTTTCAGCCTCCTAAAGTGTTGGGATTACAGGTGTGAGCCACCATGCCTGGCCCCACCTCCATTTATTAGGCATTATCTCATGTAAACTTAAAATTTAAAAAATAATTCCAGGCTCCGATGTAGATCATGAACCTACTTAACACTCAATATGGTAAAAACAAATGTTTTAAATTGTTCTAGTCTTCCTAAAAGAAGTATAATGGTTTTGGCTCAAGACTCATCAACATTATAGATCCAATCGTTGTCAAAGAACACAGTTTCTGACCTGGTAACGAAATTGTTCTGATAATCCGACACATGGCCAAGATTCTCAGACAAGAATAAAAGGCATTCGTTTGGATTCTGTCCTTTCATAACTTTCAGAGGAAAATCAAGAAGAGGCTTTCAGCCCAGTAAAGACACTGATCAAAGCTTGGTAAAAATGGGCTTGTATGCAGACTTTAAGTGATGTTCTTCAACAAATTAAACAGGCCAAAGGAGTGTTTTTCACTGATGGAGCTCTCACCACTCACTGGTTCTGTGCCAGTTTTCCATAGCCTCCTCTCCCAGCATCATAGTCTTGCCGATACTCATCCCGTACCTTTAATGAAAAGAACAGAGTTACAATATAGAGAAGAATGGTAAAAAATACGCCTCCCACAAACATGTCAGTGGAACCTGTTCAGATGCCCTAATGTGAACATTTCAAGCAGGACATAATGCACTTCAACTCATTTCAGTGCATTTTGCTTTCTTTGTAGATATTCCTGCAGGTGGAAGATACCCAGCCCCTAGCAAAAATTCAAGAATGGATGCTTGTTAGAAATGTACAGAATAGACTATTTCAGGGTTTAAAAAATCAATTTACCCAAACCGTTAGGTGGTTTTTACATCACTTCAAGCCAAGATTAAAGACATGAAGTTATTTATAAAAAAGTAAATATAAATTGCCAAAACACCTGTCATTGTGACTAGAATCCCAGGCAATGGCTGATCCCAGAGACCCTTCTTGCATACCTGACCCCCAGATCGCCCACGGCCGTACTGCCTGCCCTCCTTAAAGCCTGCGTCCCAGTCTGTGCGAATGATTCGGTCATCTAGACGAGTTCCATTTATATACCGCATGGCATTTTCTGCATCTGCTCGTGAGTAATATCTTAAATATTAAGGAACACTAGCATTTTCCCAAGCATTTTTGGAAATGGGAGAACATGTAAATGAAGCCGAGTTGTTAAAAAGTGTAAGACCTAATCCAACCAGATGTAGTGCAAAGACAGTAATTCAGCTTGCATAGGCCTGTTTGCAATTGGTCTAGAAGCACATAGTCAAATGTAACACTTAACCATGGCTACACTGATCATGAGTTCCTGGACATTCCTGTTGATAATTTTTGGTCTCATATCCGTATTTTGGTTTGCAAAATATAAAATACATTCAGTGCAGGTTTAGACCACTGTACACTTCTTACCCAAGAAACAAGTGCTATATATTCAAGTTAGGTGCAACATATTCCAGAGCAACCTTAATAAAGAGGTCACAGTGCATATGGAATCGCACTGCATTTCACTAAAGGAGAGACTCAAGGTATCAAGAAGGTAGTAGTTCCCAAACCTACTTAATCAGAGAGATCTCCATTTAGTTAAATGTCTATCTGGGAAGACTTGTAAGCAGGAAGACGTTTAATCCCAGACAAATAAGACAATAGTGTTCTCAATAAACCATCTGGAAGAAGTAGTAGCTTTGATGTTAGCAGGCCAAAATAAAATCTTTCTTCATACTAGCATTTGGGAAACCCACATATCCCCAAGGCAAGCCAGCAGTCTGGGAGAGAAGCCCTGCCTGGGTCCAGTGAATCAGCATTTTTAATTATGAACAGAAATCCAGGGATTACCAGACATTTAAGGAAAATTTTCAACCAAATCAAACAAAATCAGGGCACAGAACAAAATTCAAAAGAAACATTAGATTGGGTCTGCAAAACTTCTCAGAGTATTAAATTGAATGAACAAAACATAAAATATAGTAAAAAGAACATAGGATAAATCCAGGAGGTCCAGTATTTAAAGAATCTAGTAAGGTAATTAAACGATCACAAGTAAAGTTTTGGTTTTTACCTATACAGTCAACTTATATACATCTACATAATGAAATACTATACAGGTATTTTACTTAAAAAAATTTGTTTTGCTCTGTCACCCAGGCTGGAACACAGTGGCACCATCACAACTCACTGCAGCCTTTAACTCTTGGGCCCCAGTGATCCTGGATCTACCTCAGCTTTCTGAGTAGCTAGCACTACAAATATGAGCCATGAAACCCAGCTACACAGCTGTCTTTAAAACAGACCTGCCGGGCGCGGTGGCTCAAGCCTGTAATCCCAGCACTTTGGGAGGCCGAGGTGGGTGGATCACGAGGTCGAGAGATCGAGACCAACCTGGTCAACATGGTGAAACCCCGTCTCTACTAAAAATACAAAAAATTAGCTGGGCATGGTGGTGCGTGCCTGTAATCCCAGCTACTCAGGAGGCTGAGGCAGGAGAATTGCCTGAACCCAGGAGGCGGAGGTTGCGGTGAGCCGAGATCGCGCCATTGCACTCCAGCCTGGGTAACAAGAGCGAAACTCCATCTCAAAAAAAAAAAAAAAAAAAAAAAAAAAAAAAAAACCTACATGTGCTGAAATGGAACAATAAAAAAATTTATTTAAAAAGAAAACCAGCACATGAAGTACACTACTGCACACCCACAGGATTACTTTTTGAAAGAAACCCAAGAAACTGGTAACTGACTGCTTCTAGGAAAGGGAATTGGGTGTTTAGAACAGAACAAGGTTTTTATATTTTCACTATGCTCTTTGGAAGTTTTTTTACATGAAGGGCAAATATTCTTGAAAAACTTTTTCTTAACCATAAACCATGGATTTCAAGACAATGTAAATAGTGGCAGCTTTCATAGTATAAGAGCAGAGGTAAATATGACAGAAGGTAGAAGAGAGATGAAGGAAAACGTAGGGACAAGCGCAGGGATGCTTATGAGCTAACAGCCTCACTTTTTTTTTTTTTTCCCCAAACAGGCAACCAACCACTCTCAGCTCTACCCTGGTTCAACAGCTACATTAAACACAGGAAGGATACTCCACAAAACAGAATCCACATGCTGTTTTCTTCATTTTATCCAGACCCATAATGATTTTCTTTATGTCACCACTTTTGCTGAAGAGTTCATAGATTTGTTCTTCAGTTGTGTAAAAAGAAAGATTTCCAACATATAACGTACAGCTTTTCTTAAGTAATTTTTCTTGTTCTTCATTGTCACCCTAGAATTTCAAATAGAAACAAAAGTTAAGCAACTTAAGAGCCTTGCTTAAATAGTATTTCTAAGCATGGTAAAAAAAAACATTTACTAATTCTGATGTGGAAATCAAATTCTCTCATCCCAATCTACTACAAATGCCTTGCCCAAAAAAGGGGGGGATTGTGGCCAGGCGCGGTGGCTCACGCCTGTAATCCCAGCACTTTGGGAGGCCGAGGCGGGTGGATCATGATGAGGTCAAGAGATCGAGACCATCCTGGTCAACATGGTGAAACCCCGTCTCTACTAAAAATACAAAAAATTAGCTGGGCATGGTGGTGCGTGCCTGTAATCCCAGCTACTCAGGAGGCTGAGGCAGGAGAATTGCCTGAACCCAGGAGGCGGAGGTTGTGGTGAGCCGAGATCGCGCCATTGCACTCCAGCCTGGGTAACAAGAGCAACACTCGGTCTCAAAAAAAAGGGGGGGGCGGAGATTGTTCACATTTTGTGAAGCACGTATGGAAAATCCAGACCTTTAATAGAGAGACAGACTCAAAAGTTATACCACATACAACAAAATAACTTCTACAACAGACTCTCACAAGTGGCTTGCCTTTTCCATGTACACACCATATCCTCAGTACTGCATCCTTTAAACCCGAGTTTAAACTCTGGACCTTGACCTATAAGGGCCCTTTTATCCTCTACAGTGAAAAGTAAGTGGACTTTCAGAGATAGAGTTCCTCTTTTAATACACCTATAGAAACTGTTCAGAGCAACAACTTGGATGCTTTACATGCTCATATATTTTTCTGAGTTTAGGGAAAAAATGCAGTGATCAGAAAAAAAAAAAAAAAAAAAAAAAAAACCAGACCTCATTTTCCTAATGGGCATCCAAATTGGGATGAAAGGATGAAGCCAGAGACAAGAACATAACTGGGCTTCATCCAGCGCAATTGACAAATCCCTGGATCCAAAATGGCTCAGCGAGGTTGGGCACAGTGGCTCACATCCGTAATCCCAGCACTTTGGGAGGTGGAGGAGGGTGGATTGCCTGAGGTCAGGAGTTCAAGACCAGGCTGGGCATGGTGGTGGACACCTGTTAATCCCAGCTACTTGGGAGGCTGAGGCAGGAGAATCGCTTAAACTTGGGAGGTGGAGGCTGCAATGAGCCGAGATCATGCCATTGCACTCCAGCCTGGGCCTCAGAAGCAAAACTCCATCTCAAAAAAAAAAAAAAAATCCACAGAACAATAGTCATTCTATGTTAAAAAGAGGTTTCCAGAACTATGAGACATTAGACAAAGTAAATTCCTGTCATTTTACTGCTGTCACTGATTTGTTAACATGGATGGGGCATCTTCGTTTTCTACTTTCCTCACATAAGTAAGGTCCAAATAGCCTACAGTTTAAGATAACTGTGGCATAAATAAGTACTTAAGTATAGGAATATGGATTCCATTCACAGAATGCTAGAAATTCCACATGACAGTATGTTATTACTGTCTAAATAAAGCTCTAGGTTTTAGACCGAAGAGATTAATAGACAACGTCAAAAGTTTTCAGTTTTCATTTTACGAGATAAATTAAGTTAAAAATGGTTAGGACGTGGAACTGTCTAAAGTAATAGCTGTAAAAGTGGCAGAAGTGCAAATCATGCCTGGCACTTAAGCATCTAAAAACTTGACAAGCCAGGATCAGTGGTTCACATCTGTAATCCCAACACTTTGGGAAGCCCAGGCAGGTGGACTGCTTGAGTCCCCAAGTTTGAGACCAGCCTGAACAATACAGGGAGACCTGTCTCTACAAAAAGCCATACGTAGTGGTGCAAACCTGTGGTCCCAGCTTCTCCAGAGGCTGAGGTGGGAGGATCACTTGGGCTCGGGAGGCTGAGGCTGCATGATCCGTGATTGTGCCACTGCACTTCAGCATAGGCAACAGAGCTAGTCTCCGTCTCAAAAAATAAATAAATCTTTTTTTAGTTTTTTTTGAGACATAGTCTCACTCTGTCGCCCAGGCTGGAATGCGTAAATAATAAATCTTTTTTGTTTTTTGGGGACATAGTCTCACTCTGTCGCCCAGGCTGGAGTGCAGTGGCGTGATCTCAGCTCACTGCAACCTCCACCTTCTGGGTTTCAAGCGACTCTCCTGCCCCAGCCTCCCAAGTAGCCAAGATTACAGGCAACTGCCACCATGCCCAGCTAATTTTTTTATTTTTAGCATAGATGGGGTTTCACCATCTTGGCCGGGCTGGTCTTGAACTCCTGACCTCGTTATCCACCTGTGCCGGCCTCCCAAAGTGCTGGGATTACAGGTGTGAGCCACTGTGCCGTGCCCGTCCTTGAATAAATAATTTTTTTTTTTTTTTGAGATGGAGTCTCGCTCTGTTGCCCAAGCTGGAGTACGATGGCGCGATCTCAGGTCACTGCAACCTCCGCCTCCTGTGTTCAAGCATTCTCCTGTCAGCCTCCAGAGTAGCTGGGACTACTGGCACGCACCACCACACCCAGCTAATTTTTTGCATTTTGAGTAGAGACGGGGTTTCATCATGTTGGCCAGGATGGTCTCGATCTCCTGACGTCATGATCTGGCCGCCTCTGCCTCCCCAAGTTCTGGGATTACAGGCGTGAGCCACCATGCTCGGCTGAATAAATTTAAGAGCTTCCCCAATTTGCTGCCAAACAAAATTTCCTTTTCCCTACTTTAGTAACACATTTCCCACATTCTCCACACCTACCCTCTGCTATGTACACCCCTTCATTTCCCAGTCACAAGGGGATTTCCCCTCTCTCCCTTTTCTGAATCCTCACTGCTTCTCTCTTAACTCACTTCTGCTTAGATTCTGGTTACTTCCCTCCATTTATAATCCACACTACGGGGAATTATGAGCTCGTAGAGTGCAGAAAACTGTCTTCCCTCTCCCTCTAGGGTTTAATACAAGGCTTTAGCAACAGCACGCAATAAACGTTTACTAAATAACTGGGTTAATGAGTCCCGCTCCCCCCAACCGTATTCCATCTCAGCCTTTGTTGATACTGAAAAGCCTACTCTGAATATCTGCAGCCTCCCCCTTTCCCACAAAATACAGTGATACAGTATTCGATATAGTCTGGACTAAAAATTTCCCTCTTCTGAAATGCAGCAATTCTCCCATCTTTACACCCTCAACGTGCCCAGCTTGACGGGTCCACCTCCCACTCCGACGCTTCCCCAAGGGCAGAGTGAGGACTCCACTTGTCTCCCACGCACCGCGTACAGTTTCCGTAGGACCGCCCTCCTAGAGAAGGGGCCCGAATCGCCGAAGGGCACAGCTTCGCTGATTTAAAAAACAAAGTAAAAAGCCCCGTAGCTGCACCAGGAAGGCGCCTCTACAGACTCAGGGAGTTAGGATACCCCTCCCCCCCCTTGTTACGGAGTCACCCTCCCGAGGCAAAACCGTGGAAACAGGAGCCACGACTACTTCTACCACTCAAATCTCTCGGCGCTGGCCAGGGTACCGGGAGTGCCTGCGAGGGAATGGGAAAGCGAGCCTCAAATTCCCATTCTTCCAAAGTGGCTTCACTGATATCCAAACGCCCTTCCAGCACCCATTCCCTGCCTCTCCAGCAGGCACCGAGGCCCCACTTGGCGTTTGGGGACTCCAGCATAATGGGAGGCAACACAACGAGATAAGAGCAAACCGTTTCTCAGCGTTCTGGCCCAGGGCCTTCCCCTCTCGCGGCCCGGCCTCCCTCACCCGGAAGTGCTGGTCCCGGTACTGGCTCAGCTCCACGTAGGAGTCGCTGCGCAGCGCCTTCAGAAGGCCACCCGACATAGTGCCGAGAAGCGGACGAGAATACGACGACTCCTGACGCGAGGCGGTGGCTGCCGCGGCGGAAGCGGAAACGCGCCGAGACGCGCGTCTTATTGGACCCAGTCCGGGCTACAGTGTCGTCATCAAACTGCGCGGGCGCAAAAGGCGTCCGGTCTGTCCCCCGCGGAACGGAAGGCAAGGGCGGCGCGCTCCGGTTCTCGGGCGCCCGGAGAGGATGGTGCTCCGACGGCTGCTGGCCGCCTTGCTGCACAGCCCGCAGCTAGTGGATCGTCTGTCGGAGTCGTGGCCTTATCCGACGTGCAGCGCAGCTCACAGCCTTCGCACTGCTACAGGCCCAGTTGCGGGGCCAAGACGCGGCCCGCCGCCTGCGGGACCTCGCGGCTGGGCCCACGGGCTCCCTGGGCCGCCGCGCTGAGCGATTCAAAGACGCTTTCACCCAGGAGCTACGCCGCGGCCTCCGGGGCCGCTCAGGGCCACCACCAGGTAGCCAGAGGGGCCCGGGCGCAAACATTTAAGCCTGGGCTGCGCGGGGCCGAGGCCGCTTACTTTCCCTTCTGGGCTCTATACTGGTCTCGTCGTTGAGGGGTCATTCCGGGCACTGCGCACGGCTTCGAATCCTGACTCCGATTTTTGGCCTGCGGATATCCCAGTCAGAAGAGCCTAGGCCCGACCGCCGTCTCCGTTGAAGTCTTGTGATTGGACAAGGCACAGTGTGGAGAAAGACCCCGAAGCCTAACAGATGAAGATGGGCTGGGTCCCGTCACAGCACCTACGGAGAGCCACCGGCCGAAGCCACAGAGCCTTTCCTCTGCAAATGGGATTGAAACTCTTGACAGATGCTGCTGAATCTGCACGAGTATAGCAGGACGCTTAATTCCAGGGACGATATGGATGAAAAGACCACCCTACAGCTGCCAAAATCCTTTGATTAAATGTGTGAGCTGATTAATAGGCATGAGTGTGATACTTCTCAGGCAAGATGGTTTAAGAATAGTGGGGACTGTAGGCCTATGGTAATAATAAACACGTACTTTATGAAATAAGTATTTATTCTGTGCTGGGACTTGCTAATAGCACTCTGTGTGTTTGTTTTTGTGTCATTTCCCTAAAACCAGTCACATGAGGAAGCAGAGATGAGGTGGTCTCACTGTGTTGCCTCGGCTGGTCTCAAACTCTTGGGCTCAACTGATCCTGTTACCTTAGCCTCCCAAAGTGCTGGGATTACAGGCAAGAGCCACTGCAACGGAAGCAGAGGCTGCTGCTTAAGTTGCCCAAAACCTTGCAGAGTAAGATGTGGGCAGAGGCATTTGACTGCTGGGCTTAAGTCCTTAACACAGCTCTGCAGCGTTTATCCTGACGCTGGATGCCTTCCTTCTCCAACTCCCCACCATCAGGCATTAAGACTACTGCCTGGGAGCAGGGTGTGGTGGCAGTTGTGTCTGATCCTGAGGCAGGATCCTCTCCAGAGGCAGGAGGATTGCATGAGCCAAAGAGATGAGACCAGCCTGGGCAACATAGCGAGAACCTGTCTCGAAAATAAAAAAGACTACTGCCTCCCATGGAACCAGCTACCTGGACTCCTATCCCTCATTTTGGAGGGTCTGGGATACAAACCAAGACTATGGTCCAGCAAGTTAGTGGACCCATGATTAGAAAATCCATTGTATATAGAAATGTCCTGTCATTTGAAGCTCCTAGCTAAGTCTCTGATTTTTTTTTTTTTAAAGACAGGGCCTAACTGTTGCACAGGCTGGAGTGCAGTGGCACAATCGTAGCTCTCACTGCGACCTCAACTTGTGGGCCAAGCAGTCTGCCTCCCTGGTCCTCCAGGGTAGCTGGGATTACAGGCCCGTGACACCATGTCCAGCTAATTAAAAACGTTGTTGTTGTTGAAATGGCATTGCAGTTTGTTGCCCAGGCTGGTCTTAAACTCCTGGCCTCAAGTAGTCCTCCCACTTCGGCCTGTCAAAGTGCTGGGATTACTGGTGTGAGCCACCACACCCGACTCTGATCATTTCTAATTAGGCAACACAATCCTGTAATCATGCAATCTAGAAAACTTGAAGCCATAGGAAAAATTTAAGCTGGTAACCAGATGCTGGCTGAGCATTGCATGTTCTCTGCTTTCTAGGAGAATGATTCCGCCTGCCCCCCGACCCCGCCCCGCAACTGCGATGGAGTCTTGCTCTGTCACCCAGGCTGGAGTGCAGTGGCACGATCTTGGCTCACTGCAACCTCCGCCTCCTGGGTTCAAGCAGTTCTGTCTCAGCCTTTCAAGCAGCTGGGATTAAAGGTGCCTGCCACCACACCCAGCTAATTTTTGTATTTTTAGTAGAGATGGGGTTTCACCATGTTGGCCAGGCTAGTCCCAAACTCCTGACCTCATGATCTGGCCACCTCAGCCTCCCGAAGTGCTGGGATTACAGGCATGAGTCACTGCGCCCGGCCGGGAGGATGACTCTTAAGGGCAAGGTGCAGAAATGACTGGAGAGTTTCCCACCACCTCTCAGGAACAGGAGTAGAAGAAAGCAGGGAGAAAATCTCTAGGTGCTATTATATATTTCAAACATCGCTTGTTTGCATAATAACCAAACACTGAGACAGCAGGCATCAGGGTGCCATGAAGTACAACACAACCCCCACTTCCGTGCTTTAAGAGCTTTGTGAGAGATATGCCTGTGGACTCCAGGAATGACACGATGTTAGCTGGCAGACACCTCAAAGATCCTCTGATGTCAACACATTGGGAAGTGGGGCAGGTGAGTGGAAGGGGCTTTCCCTTCCACTCACAGTAACAGACCAAGGGACTAGCGCTTGGGTCCCCTGGATCTGGACCGTCCGTTCTCTATACTTCATCACACTGACTTCCACATATTTGGATAGCCAGATCAGTCTTAGGAAGCCAGAGGGTTGTCATGACAGCAAGAGGTAAGGCATCATGGAAAGTGTGGGAGCAGTAATTCAGGCATGTCACTAGCAGTTCATTGTTTTTTTTCGCAACCAGGTGCTATCTATCTATTTCAGACATCACAGTGGCTGGAAGCAGTAGGGCAGAAACAGGTGCCATTGCTTATACAAGGTTCTTTGGGGACCTTGACATCAAGACTGACAGGTCAGATCTTTGGTCTCAGGGAGAAGAGTGCCAGCTCACCAAGAAGGCAGAACAGCCAATGGCCACGCCCAGGAAAGGCAGCAGTGGGAGTTGTGAAGGAGAACCAGGGCTCTGTCCCAGTGTCCCAGCCCAGCTACCCAAGTAGAAGGTGGAGTGGCATCTTCTCTGGCTGAACCTTGGGCAGCGGCTGCTCTGCCATGTTGTCAGGTTTCTTCCCCCAGCTCCATGATGTGAAGACTGAGGTGGTCCCTCCAAGCCCCACTCAGCAAGGAGGACAGGGCTGGTGGATCCTCCAGCGTCAGATGGGGAAATAAAAGAGTCTCATTCTTGAGGGGAAAGCTGCACTTCTCCACGGCACGCCTGGTGGTGCCAGGGGTCACCACAAAGAGGCGGCAGAGCCACGGCCCGCCGGCCACTTGGCAGGCTGGTTGTCTGGTAAAGCTTTTCAGGGCTTGGCACAGGACACGGTCCTCAGTCCCACCCATGTCCACCACCTCCACTGGTGCCCCTAGGCCTGGGAGGTGTAGAAGGTGCCGAGGAGGCATGTAGGTGTGGGTGAAGAGGAGTGTGTAGTGGGTAGGCACGCTTGGGAGCGCAGGGGTGTGGACCACCTGCTCCAGGTACTCCAGGCTGGGCACCAGGCCCCCCTGATGTAGGCAGCCAAAGAAGAAGGCACCGAGGGCATTGAAGAAGACCACGGTACTCTTCCAAGGCACAGGTTGGGTCTGTGGACTACAAAGCAGGACTAGGGGGACCAGGAGGGGAATCAGGAACCGAGCCTCCTGGTGGCTAAAGGCAGACAGCAGGGCCAGGGGTGTGAAGTAGAGGAGAAGGAGATACGACCTGGGGCTGGACAGCAGACTCCGGGCACGCTGCGCCCTCAGAGGGCTCCTCTGTGCACAGGCCGGAAGGCAGACTTGCAGCTGCTGCCACGCGGCTTGCAGGGCCTGGGCATGCAGCATCCCGAAGAGCAGGAAGCCGTTGACTGCCAGGTGAGTGAGCCGCACATGCGTGCCATGCCTTGCCAGGTTTTGGGGATTCAGGTTGTAGTGTAAGAAGTTGACAGGTGTAAGGACAAGGGTACTGGATGTAGTGGGGCTGGAGAAATACCAGCTGTCCACGGCCACGAACACCACTGCTGTGAGGACCGCCCCTGGCAGCAGCACCAGAGCCTCTCGGGTCAGGGACTTCAAGCCAGGGTTTGTAGCTCCACGAGTGCCCCAGAGGTAGAGTGGGACCACAGCAAAGGCCAGAAAGGTGGGCCGGTTGAAGAAGCCAGCAGCCATGATGGCTCCAAGAAGCCAGCTGTGCCACCACGGACCCGGCGCAGGCTCCTTGGGTGTGGGGCCCCACATAACATGGGAGGATACCAGCACCAGCAGGCACGCCAAGAGCAGTCCCTCGATGGTGTTGGAGAAGGTCCTTGTGTAGAAGACCAGGGTGACGTAGGAACCAGACAGCAGGACCAGGGCGTTCCAGCGATCTGCCCCCCACAGTGGGGCCAGGTGGTACACCGCCCCATCCAGGGCAAAGGAGAGGGCAGTGAGGAGGAGTCGGGGCCCCACTAGCAGCACATAGCCACTCACCAGGCCAGGCCACAGGCCTAGCTCTTCCCAGAACCTGAGCAGCCAGAAGGTAGAGCCAGAGATCAGCAGGGGGAAGACCACCGTGCGGCAGGAGCTGCTGGGGTAAAACTCCCAGGGCCGGGTGGCCTGAACACCCAGGATGTCCTCTGCAGAGAGAGAGAGAGAGAGAGAGGCAGAGGTGAGCCAGTACCAAGCTCAGGATGTAGTGGGCAAAATTCGAGGATGGCCCCCAACATTTTCCACCTTTTGGTGTGCCTGCCCAGCCTAAACCCTGGGACTGTGCACAGAATGAATCCCTCCCTCCCTCCCGTCCTCCCTCCCTGATAGGCTGTCTGTCACCCAGGCTGGAGTGCAGTGGCAAGATCATAGCTCTTGCTATGTTACTCAGACTGATCTCAGACTCCTGGCTTCGAGCCATTCTCCCACCTCAGCCTCCTAGCATGCTGGGATTACAGGTTTGAGCCACTGCACCTGGCCCACAGGATGGATTGTACTCCTGTGATTAGGTTATGTTATACAGAGGCACTGACTGTAAAAGAGGGAGACTATGGTGTGGGCCAGACCTAATCACACCAGTTCTTTAATAACAGAGTTTTTACCATCTGGATGCAGAAAGGGCAGTCAGATTCAAAGCATGAGAAGGATTTGACATGCCACTGCTGGCTTAAAGATGGAAGGGGCATTGGCTAGGAATGGGGGTGGCCTCTGAAAGCTAAGAGCAAGGAAACCACGCCGTAGTTCCACAGCTGAAATCAATTAGATGCTGCTGGAATTAGCTTCCAGACAAGAACTCAGCCCAATCCATATGCTGATGTCCACCTTGTGAGCAGAGAGCCCATGCTGCCCTTCTGATTAACAGAACTGTGAACTCACAAATTGGTGCAGTTTTAAGCTGCTAGGTTTTTGATGATTCATCACGCAGCAGCAGAAACAAGTGTAGGGGAGCTGAGAGTGCAGAGGGCAGGAGAAACTTCCCTGGGAAAAGGAGCAGTGTGTCCTGGGAAGAGTGTGTGGGAAGTGTGCAGGTGTGGGGAGGCTTACCCTCTTCTCGGGGTTCCAAGATCTCAAAGGTCAGACTCAGAACCCCATCTCTGATAATGATTGTTATCAGGAGATGGGGGGAGAAAATAGGGGTGGGACGAGCCCTCGGGTTATGTCAAAGGTGATTTATATTTAGTTTTGTTTATGATACTTAAATTTTTTTTCTTTTTGAGATGGAGTCTTGCTCTGTCGCCAGGCTGGAGTACAGTGGTATAATCTCAGTTCACTGCAACCTCTGCCTCCTGGCTTCAAGCAGTTCTTCTGCTTCAGCCTCCCGAGTAGCTGGGACTACAGGCACATGCCACCACATCTAGCTAATTTTTGTATTTTCAGTAGAGAAGGGGTTTCAACATATTGGCCAGGCTAGTCTTGAACTTCTGACCTTGTGATCCACCCGCCACGGCCTCCCAAAGTGCTGGGATTACAGGTATGAGCCACCGTGCCTGGCCCAAATCTTTTTTCTTTTCTTTTCTTTCTTTCTTTCTTTCTTTTTTTTTTTTTTTTTTTTTTTTTTTAACAGTCTCGCTTTGTCACCCAAGCTGGAGTACAGGGGCGAGATCTCAGCTCACTGCAACCTCCACCTCGCTGGTTCCAGAAGTTCCCCTGCCTCAGCCTCCAGAGTAGCTGTGACTACAGGCACCCACCACCACACCCCGCCAATTTTTTTTTTTTTTTGTAGTTTTAGTAGAGACAGAGTTTCACCATGTTGGCCAGACTGGTCTCAAACTCCTGACCTCAGGCAATCTGCCCGCCTCGGCTTCCCGAAGTGCTAGGATTACAGGCGTGAGCCACCGCGCCCAGCCTTTTTTATTTTTGAGATGGAGTCTCACTCTGTCTATTCTGGCTGGAGTGCAGTAGTGCAGTCTTGGCTCACTGCAACCACCACCTCCCAGGTTCAAGCGATCCTCCTGCCTGAGCCTCTCGAGTAGCTGGGACTACAGGCACGTGCCACCACACCCAGCTAATTTTTTGTATTTTTAGTAGAGACAGGGTTTCATTGTGTTAGCTAGGATGGTCTTGATCTCCTGACCTCAGGATCTGCCCACCTTGGCTTCCTAAGTGCTGGGATTACAGGCTTAAGCCACTGCGCCCAGCCTAATTTTTTAATAAGAAGAATATATCCAAGTAGTACTTATATAATTTAAGAACTACTTGCTTCCTGGTCTGTAACCCTGTGCCCAATGTTCCAGAGCTCTGAGGGGTGGCTGTGAGGGAACAGCTCCACTCCAAGCCTCATTGTTCACAGCATCTCTTGCTTGATCACCCTGCTGGTTATCTAGAGTTAATTATACAGCCTGGCGATCATTCGGGCTCTTTGATTCTGCTACTTATTTCTCCAGCTGTTTTATCTGTCTATGTTAGACAGTGAAAGGGAAGTAAGATCCAGGATCAAATCAATCTGGCTGCTTTTCTGGTTTTAAAAAAAAATGTGTGGGAAAGAAGATGAACCTTTTAACTTAAAAAACAAATTCACCTGTTGAGCCCTATGGCAAAGAAAGCTGGTGCTTCCCCATTATCTATATTCCCTCCTCCTTCCTTAGACATTTTTTTTTTTTTTTTTTTTTGAGACAGAGTCTCACTCTGTTGCTCAGGCTGGAGCGCAGTGGCACGATCTTGGCTCGTTGCAACCTCTGCCTCCAGGGTTCGAGCGATTCTCCTGTCTCAGCCTCCCAAGCAGCTGGGATTACAGCTGCTTGACGCCATGCCCAGGCAATTTTTTGTATGTTTAGTAAATATGGGGTTTCATTATGTCAGCCAAGCTGGTCTCAAACTCCTGACCTCAGGTGACCCACCCACCTTGGCCTCTCAAAATACTGGGATTACAGGTGTGAGCCACTGCACCTGGCTCCTTAGACTCTTTAGCTGGGTACTTGGTCAGATATAAAGACTATATTTTTTAGCTTCCTTTGCAGCTAAGTGTGGTCTCATGATACATTATGTTCAGTGTGATGGAAATGGGTAAAAAGCATGCAACCTTCAAAATATGACCTTAAAGAGAGAAGAAATGCCTTTCTCCTTTGTTGGCTGGAAAGACTGGTTGAAGACTTACTTGATGGCTGGAGCTCAAGTAGCCGTCTTGAGCCATGAGGATGAAGCCACATGTTCATAACATCTGAAAGGCCTCAAGGACTTTGGGCAGGATGGCATGGGTAAGGCAAATACCCTTATGATGTGTCCTATACCACCTAACAGATAAGTGAGTGTCCCAGGTCTGGGTTCCCTTAACCCTCAGCTGAGTCTACAGAAGAGAGGTTTCATTATCTCAGATCACAGCCTGTGTCGGCTCACGCCAAATACTGGGGAAGTCCAACTCTAAAAGTGTTCCACTGGGAAGTTCAACACAGCTTTCATCCTGAATGACCTGTAGTGTTGGTCCAAGCAGGAATACATCCAAGAGACTGGTGGTTTATTAGCATTACTCAGAAGGTCAGTGTCACCATTCAGGAAGGAGACATGAAGTCCCCACTTCCAAGTTCTTACCCCGGAGAAGCTGCTTCTCTGCTTGTGGATTTACTACTCATCTGCACGGACATGCTACTCCCTCCCCACAAAATCTCCCATCAGCTTCCCAACCAGACTCTGCTGGAACTTGTCTCAGCCACGCATGCGGAGTGTTTTACCTGCCATGACCTCAGGTGACTGGAAGAACTCATCTGGGTGCACATAGCCTGTCTGCGGAAGGAGACACCACAGCACTCGGAGCACGCTGAGGCCACCCCAAAGCACCCTGACTGCCATCTTCAGATCCGATTACCGCGCCCAAACCTGGAATAATGTCCCAGCTGCTACAGATGCTACGTTGGATCCACAGATCTGCGTCTGTTGAGGATAACACTTGTTGGTTACCATGATGTAAATTATTATCCATTCAACTGTCTGAACAAACTCAAAATGGATCTATATTTAATAAAAATGACAATAATAATAATAGCTACTTTATACTAAATGCCCACTAACTGCCAGGCACTTGACATGCATATTTCATTTAATCCTTTCCATGGTCTGGAGCAGTGGGTCTTAGTATCCCTATTTTACAGATTTCGGGAAACGGAGGCCTCTGTTGAGTAACTTGATTACTTCCTGCTCATATTTGCTAAGGAGTCTGGTGGTTAATTTTATGTATCAACTTGACTGGGCTAAGAGATACCCAGATAGCTGGTAAAACATTATTTCTGGCAGTGTCTTTAAGGACATTTCAGGAAGAGATTAATCTCTGAATTGATAGACTAAGATCATCATCTGCACCAATGTGGGTGGGCATGATTAATCCTTGGAGGGTCTGAATAAAACAAAGAAGTGGAGGAAGGGTGAATTTGCACTCTCTTCAGCTGGGACAGCCATCTTCTCCTGTCCTCAGACATTAGTGCTCCTGGTTCTTGGACCTTCAGACTCCAGATCTCACGCAAGTGCCCCCCAACCCACCTCCCTGAATCAGGATCTCTGTCCTTAAATAGGACTGGGAATTATACTGCAGGCTCCTCTGTTTCTAAGACTTCTGACTCAGATGGAATTAAACCACAAGTTTCCCTGATTCTCCAGCTTGCAGGTGTCAGATTGCATGACTTCACCAGCCCCCATGATTGCATGAGCCAATTTTCATAGTAAATGAGAAAGCCAATTCCTGGTTGTTTCTGTGTCTCTGGAAAGCCCTGGCTTGTACAGGGTCTAAATATGACATTTGCTCAATGTGACATTTGCAAGTAGGATTAGTGTACCCAGCAAATCTGGGTCTTACAGCCCCATCCTGATCACTATCCACAGACCAGTATGGCACGCTGTTTCTTGCATTTCTGAAAACTTGGGAAACTCAATGGATTCCACCCATTTCACTGCAAAAATTACACTCAGCCCCATGGTTTCCAGTTACTCCCTCCAACTTTCACATACCCTGGAACCTGCCTTTTGGAAGGTGACGGAAACATTTATAACTCCATATGATGAGAATTCTAACTCCCTCAACTCAAATATAGTATTAACTGAATCCCACAAGTTTGGCTATGTAACTCAAAGAGCAGTGACAATCTGAGCCCATTGCATGCTGGATCTGTAAGTCGGGAGCATCACTGCTCAACAGGAAAGCAAGTTTGACAACCTGCTTGTCTCTTCTCCAGAAATAGTGATGTTCCCCTGACTTCTTGATGTTTTAAACTCTGACCTTAAATAGTGCTTTCTCTCAGGTTTACACCTGAGAGCTCACACTGCCAGGTGGCTCACATCTGTAATCCCAGAAGTTTGGGAGGCTGTGGCAAAAGGATCGCTTGAAATTGGGAATTCGGACCAGCCTGGGCAGCAAAGTGAGACCCCATTTCTACAAAAAAAAAAAAAAAAAAAAAAAAAAAAATAGTTGGACACAGTGGTGTGCACTGGTAGTCCCAGCTATTCAGGAGGCTGAGACAAGAAGATCACTTGAACCCAGGAATTCGAGGCTGTGGCGAGCTATGATCACACTACTGCACTTCAGCCTGAGTGACAGAGCAAGACCCTGTTTAAAAAAAAAAAAAAAAAAATGGCCAGGTGCGGTGGCTCACACCTGGCATCCCAGCACTTTGGGAGGCCAAGGCAGGCAGAACGCTTTCGGTCAGGAGTTTGAGACCAGCCTGGCCAACATGGCAAAAACCCCTCTCTACCAAAAAAATACAAAAATTAGCCAGGTGTGATGGTGGACACCTATAATCCCAGCTACTCAGGTGGCTGAGACACAAGAATCGCTTGAACCCAGAAGGTGGAGGTTGCACTGAGCTGAGATCACACCACTGAACTCCAGCCTGGGAGACAGAGCAAGACTCTGTCTCAATCAATCAATATTAAAAAAAAAAAAAAAAGTTGTTAACTATAGTTACCCTACTCTGCTATCAAACATTAGAACTTTAATCTTCTAACCGCATGTTTATACTGTAGCTTATATTCTTAATTCATGTTTATTCCTAATATTGGTTACTTGTACCTTCTTTTTTCTTTCTTTATAATCCTCACCAGAATTTTGTTGATTTTGTGAATCTTTTCAAAACATCAACTTTTGGCCTTGCTGTTTTTAATTTCTTTGCTCATCTTTATTTTTTTTTCACTTTTACTCTTTTTGGGGATTATTTTATTGTTTTATTTCAAATCTTTTGATATGAACACAGCATTAATTTTGAACCTTATTTTCTATGAGAAGTATTCAAGGCTACACATTTTTCTCTAAATATAGTATTAACTGCATGCCACAAGTGTTGCTATGTAACAATTTCATCAACTTTTGATTCTAAATATTTCTAATTGCCATTGTAATTTCTTCTTCCACCAATGTCTTATGGTTGAAGGATTTAATTTTTTTTTTTGAGACGGAGTCTCGCTCTGTTGCTGGCTGGAGTACAGTGGCACAATCTCGGCTCACTGCAATCTCTGCCTCCCAGGTTCAACCAATTCTCCTTCATCAGCCTTCCGAGTAGCTGGGATTACAGGCATGCACCACCACACCCAGCTACTTTTTGTATTTTTAGTAGAGATGGAGTTTCACCATGTTGGCAGGAAGGTCTTGATCTCCTGACCTTGTGATTCGCCCACCTTGGCCTCCCAAAGTGCTGGGATTACAGGCGTGAGCCACCGCACCCGGCTGAAGGATTTAATTTTTTTTATTTTTTATTTTTTTGAGACGGGGTCTAGCTCTGTAGCCCAGGCTAAAGGGCATGCAGTGGCACGACCCTGGCACACTGCAGCCTCCGCCTCCTGGGTCCTGGTTCAAGTAATTCTCCTGCCTCAGCCTCCTGAGTAGCTGGGATTACAGGCACGTGCCACTACGCCCAGCTAATTTTTGTAATTTTAGTAGAGACGGGGTTTCACCATGTTGGCCAGACTGTTCTTGAACTCCTGACCTCGTGATCTGCCTGCCTTGGCCTCTCAAAGTGCTGGAATTAAAGGCATGAGCCACCGTGCCGGGCCAGGATTTAATTTTTAATGGTCATTTTTGCAGATATTCCATGGATGCTTGAAAACACTATATATTCTATACTTACTAAATGAAGAGTTCTATATATTGACATTAGATCAAGCCCATTAGTTGTGTTGTTGAAATCTTTTTTTTTTTTTTTTTGAGACAGGGTCTCACTGTGTTGTCTATGCTGGAGTGCAGTGGCATGATCATGGCTCACTGCAGCCTCGATCTCCTGGACTCAAGCAATACTCTGATCTCAGCCTCCTGCGTAGCTAGGAAGACAGGCACGCACCACCAAGCTTGGTTAATTTTTAAATTTTTTATAGAGACAAGATCTTGCTATGTTGCCCAGGCTGGTCTTGACCTCCTGGGTTTCAAGCAGTCCTCCCACCTTGGCCTCCCAAAGTGCTGGAATTACAAGCATGAACCAACATACCTGGCCCAAATCTTTTAATGTCCTTAATTTGTTGATTTTTTACTGTCACAGAAATGTATGTTGAACTAGCTCATGAAATAGTTAACTTGGGTAATTTTCCTTATGATTCTGTCAATTTTAGTTTATTTTTGAAGCTATATTATTATATTTGTAGAAGTTTATAACTGTTATACCTTTTTGGAAAATCGAATATCTTATCATTATATAGTTACCTTTTAATCTCTAATACTACTTTGTCCTAAAGTATATTTTATCTGATATTAATGTAGGTAGACACATTTTTCAGAAACTTAGTATTTACCTGGTACATACTTTTCCACCCTTTCTTTTCTTTTTTTCTTTTTGGGATGGAGTCTCACTGTCTTGCCCAGGCTGGAGTGCAGTGGCATGATCTCAGCTCACTGCAACCTCTGCCTCCTGGATTCAAGCAATTCTCCTGCCTCAGCCTCCCAAGTAGCTTGGACTATAGGCATGAACCACCATGACCGGCTAATTCTGATATTTTTTGTAGAAATGAGGTTTTGCCATGCTGGCCATGCTGGTCTTGAACTCCTGACCTCAGGTAATCTGCTGTGTTGCTGGCTGGAGTGCAGTGGCACAATCTCAGCCTCCCAAAATGTTGGGATTACAAGTATGAGCCACTGTGCACAGCCAATTTACTGTTATTATTGATTTATTTATTTCTACCACCCTATTTTGTTTTCTTTTCTTGTTTTTTCAATGATTTTTTTTTTTTTTTTGGTCCTTTCTTGCCTTCTTTTGGATTGATATTTTTTCCCTTTTCTCTCTACCAGTTTGGAAGTTATATATACTCAGTTTCCAATATGCTATAAAATACAATATATTATTTAATATTTTAAAATTTAGTATACTATGTTATGTGTCTTCACTATTAAATTCTGGGTGCACATTTCTTTTTACTTATTATAGTTGAAAATTTTTTGGCTTCTTGAACCTGTGGATTAGGACCCTTTGTCATTTATAGAAAGTAATCCTCCATTGGACTGTATGCTGCTGATAAAGACATACCCAAGACTGGATAATTTATAAAGGAAAAGAGGTTTAATGGACTCACAGTTCCATGTGGCTGGGGAGGCATCACAATCATGGTGGAAGGCAAAGGCACGTCTTACATGGCAGCAGGCAAAAAGCAAATGAGAAGGAAGCAAAAGGGGTTTCCCCTTATAAAACCATCAGATCTCGTGAGACTTACTACCACGAGAACAGTATGGGGGAAACCACCCCCATGACTCAGTTATCTCCCACGAGGTCCCTCCCACAACATGTGGGAATTATGGGAGCTACAGTTCAAGATGAGATTTGAGTGAAGACACAGCCAAAACATATCATAGACCTTCTCAGTCTATCTTCCATGTCTCTTTAAGTTCTATTTCATATTTCCCATATCTTTATCTCTCTTGGCTATATGTCAGATAAGTTCTGTTCTGTCTTTCATGTCTCTAGTCATCC